TCCAGTCTATCGACCCTGGAGTGCGGAGGGATGGTTCCTCCGGTATGTCAAATGTGAAAACACTCTGTGGGTTTGGAAAAGCGCTGTATCGCCTGTCTGGTAGTGTCGTTCCCCGACCTGTGGCCACCGTCGCGCCCCCGTCCGTGGCCCCGCCGCGGCCCGCTTCACGCTGCACCACCGCGGATCGAGGACTTGGCGACTATCGTGCACCACCCCACCACCGTGCGCCTATCAACCTTCCTGTTTCTCTGGTACCACCGGCGCAGCCCGCCCCGCTTAACGCCGTCTTGGATCGTTCGAATTCCCATTCGCCTTTCGCCCTCCACTCCTCCTCATTATTACCTATATTTGTGTATCGCAACCTCTTTATTCTATTTTTTTCCTTCTCATTCGTGTGCATCTCAATACGTATCCGCGAGATATGTTCTTGCTTAGTTCACCTGTTTCGACATTCTTTCCTCGCTTAATTCGTCCATATTCCTCTTCTATATTGGGGCAATTATTCTTATGACATTTATGCCTAGCCTATTTATTATTTTGTGCTTGATAGCCTCCATTGCGTCTCAAAGATATGTAGTACTGTATACAGATTACGTTACCTTGTTTCTTCATTCATTCCCAGCCTTTATACTTCCCAACTCTCTGTTCTTATTTCTCTGTTATTCCGATTTCCCCCCGTGCTACTTGCCTACTACTACAAAGCTTTAAGGCATTTGTGACTATTGTAAAAAATATTGTGGGCTCGTGCAAAATAAATTATAGTCATTTGCTCTGCTGGCTACTTGGGAGAACATTAGGATCGTGTTAGCACTTTTCATTCTTCTTCTTTCTTGGAGGTGAAGTTTTTTGCTTTGAAATCATCTGAAGGACCAGTCAGGGGAGACTGTTTCAACAGTGTGACTCTTGCAGCAAAGAAAATAACGAGTCTAGAAATGAAAAATGATTCATCTAAAATGAATTACGTTCAATGTATCATATGCGCTCTGCTCGAAATATGTTCAATCTCTCCCGTAACGAGAGTTATAGGTTACTTTCAGATTTGAGAAACTGCTCCGTTCGCTGTTGCAATTCGTAAAGTGAAAAGCATCTGCAAATGTGTCCTGAAATGCCCCAACAGGGCGTCATCAGCGTGGAGAATAAATTGAGGCGGCTCTCTAAATATAATGGAGATGGTTAGCTTCTATACGCCTAAATTATATTTTGAAAAACCATCACGTTTACTCTGCAAAATTACAACTCAAATCTGCTTGATGTTCAGTTTTTCTTTTGCTTCTCTCATAAAAAGTTTGTCCTATTAAAGCGAAGTACTACGTACACTTTATGATTAGTTTAATGGACTCGTCCTTTTTGGTACATATAATATTACTGAATGGAGCTTAAAATATCGAGACAGAAAATATTGCTTCTTGATGATGATAGAATATCGATGAAAATTTACTACAAAATAAATTATCGAAAACGTAGATGAAAGAAAATTTTGATGGGGTCGTAATAGCAGCACACCATTAGCCATTAACGTATTCTCTGGACGTGTGCCGACATTTAATTTCATGTTACATTTGCGGTATACGTGCAGTGAGTTCATAAATTGTTCAATATTTTATTTATTATTTAAATGCTGTTAATGTCGCGTCGTATATAATTGAATAAAAGCACGGGCGTATCTGTACCATTTAATGGCTTTTTTATTGTCGATGAGCTTTTGACATTAACGATTCACGCTCATGTGAATACATTGTATCAGCACGTTAAATACAATTTTAGTAACTGATTTCACTTTTCCTTTGTTTCGATCGTTGTAAAAGGGGCATTATGCTGAATGGAAACGTCATTTTTATGTTTTCACGGGCTGTGCTGGCGACGACCCCTGCCATATTATCTCGCGCGCGACGTGGGGCCGGCAGATATTCCCAGCCTTCTCTCCGTCTTGGGAGTTGAGACGCCGTTTTATCCCAGTTCCTGCTCTTTTCGCACACGACCCTCCTCCTTTTCCGCGGAGTCTTTTATGTAATGGACACTCCCGCCGCGCGGTCGTCGCCGCGCGCCCGTTCGCGTGGGTGTGAAGGCGAAAGGGACGGTGGAGGGGTGGGGGGGAAGGAAGGAGGGGTAAAGAACGGATGGCGGGAAGCGGATGTGGTAGGGGGTGTCGTTGCTGCGCAGAATCCAAAATGCGGGAGAATTCCAATATTTCCATTTGTGTCGACGCGGGTCGGCGAGGCGCGGCGCGGCGTGGCGCGGAGCGTAGCAGCGTGACCCCGCGTCGGTGCATACGACATTTGCGAGACACGTAATTCGCGAGAAGAAGACATAAAACGGCCTGCAGTAAGTCAGGCAAGGCCTAGTCGGGCTTTACCATGCTGAGGCTTCGCCATGCCCTTAAGTTGGACCGTGCAGTCAATAGGCTCGACTAGGTTTTGATGTTTGTCTCCTCTGTCTCCATCCGTCCACCCAAGTCCAAACCCTGCCGTGCTAGAATGCATCCTGCTCCCCCCAACATCCATTCTCTCTTCGCACATATTTTCCGATAATTTCTTTGTAGGCAGTCGTCCTGATCTCAACCGTTCTGCAATCTCCCATCATCTTAACTCTGTCATCTCCAGTGCCTACATTTTGTTCGTATCTAACATCTGGCTTTCCCTTGGCTTAAAGGCCACTGTTCCGTTTGTCCTTCGCCGTTTCTGGCTGTCGCTCTCTGCTCATCTTTGTGACCTCAATTGGAGTCCATTCCATTACCACTCTATTAATTGTCTGAACCCTTCCCCTGAAGCTTCACATTCCTTCTGTCAATCTGCGCTGTTAATCGTCTCCCATGTTGTCTCTTACTCATTACTCAGACTCTTTCCCATACCTCTCTGTCACCTATCTCAACATCACCTCCCACCCTCCCGCGACTTGACACCGGCGACGTCCCGTCAACTTTTTTCCTTTCGTCCCTCCCAGCCTCGTCATTCCCGCACGGCCCCATTGCCAGGCACGCCTTCATTCGCCCTGTTTCCCGCCCACCGCGCGCCCCCGTACCGCCCGCGCCATCCAGCGCCGGCGGCCCGCCCCGCATAAACAAGTGGTCGTCGCCTCCGGCTGCAGCGGCGCGCGTGCCCGTGATTTGTCGGCCGGGCGACGCGACGTCACCCGCCCGCCCGCCCGCCTCGCACTGCGACTCCGCGGCCATTGTTGTCGGCCGCCCTGTCAGGAGCCGGTTAAATATCTATGTGTCTAATTATTTTATTGCGCGCCCCGCACGTGTTGTCACAGCCTGCCGAAGCACACGTCGTCAAGCAGGATTACACAGCCTTTCATATTTCAGGCCATCCCACTGTTTGCGGAGGACGCGGGCACGCCCACGCGCCACTGACTAAACTTCTCTTTCATTTTGCACCGTTTTACGCTTCTCATGTATGTATTTTTGATTGCAGGTTCCTTTTTTTTGGATTCGCCAATATTGACTATTAACGCCGCATGCTCATATTTAATTCTTTTGCAGCTATCGGGCTTAGATAACAGCCGGCCTGCGTTTGCGTATCTAATTCACATAGAACGTAAATGGTTTCTATCGGTGCGGGCGTGGCGCGATAAAGTCGCAATGAGAGGCCTCGTCGATTGTCGCTCGCTCGCGTTTTTTTTTATTTACCCGCCCGCGCGTTTAGGGGTTCTGGTCGCTGGGCTCTCTGCGCGCGCCGGTCATATTGATCCAGTCGGCGCGCAACAAGGCTCGTGCAGTTTGGGCAGGGGCAGGCGAATTTGGGGCTGAAACAATGTTTTCATTTCTAGGAACGAAGATTTTATTCGTTGTTGAAAATGTTTGCCAATGGATAAATAATGCAGTCAGTTAATTGATCATCTTCAATTCCATTAGTAAAGTAATTTCAGTTAAAAAGTGAAAAATAAAGAATTCAATTATTTTTGATCCCAGACTGGCTCTCAGTTAGATTCTTCGATTTCATTTCACATGCAGAAACGTTTTCTGAAAATAGTGCCAAAACTACAAATCTTTTTACTTTTTCTTGTGTGTACATCGGGCTTTTCAAAAAATCAGTGGAAAAGTTAGGAGCAGAGGAAGTGTGGGATGGCTTGGCCTCCAGTCTACGACAACCCCTGTCCCTAGGGCCAACGGGAAGAGTACAAGCACCGAATGTGTGACGTTTCCTCTGAGTGCTTAACATCCAGGCGCCACCCACACCGAATCTCTTTCAGCCCTTGTCGAGAATCATAGTTTAAACAAAGTAATTTGTTCAGTCTCATACCCTTCCTCTCTTACTTTGCTTTGGCATTTTACATTAGTGGCGATCTTATTTACGTTAGTTAAAAATAACTGAATAAAAGGCGATGTAAAGACATCGGTGACGACTTCAACGCAAGTCTCCACCAGCGACGCGGCCTCTCAGCTCGGCGTCCGCCTGCGCCGCGCCCAACCGCCGCCCCGCGCACCGCCGACACCCACTCCCACGCGCGCCTCGCCGACAAAGGCGCCTCGCCCGAGTAGGCCGGCGCCCAGGGCGGAAGTCCTCGGACGACGGCGCGCTGCCCGCGACAATCGAGGGGCCTCGCCCCCTCGGAAGCTGCTCCAGGTGCCGCCACGCGCAGCAGCCACCACCGCGTGGCTCCCTGGAGAGGGGGGGGCGTTCTTTCGCGACGCGTTTAGATCGGCAGAAGCTCGTACTTTTCTCTCTTTCTCTCTCTGTCTTTTCCCCCTTCTCGCTCTCCACCTTCTCTCGTTTTCTCTCTCACTTGCTCCCTCTCTCTCGCTCTCACTCCTTTCTCTCTTACTTTCCACGCTTATTCCTGTGATCTCTTTTCTTGTATATTTTCTCCTCTCTTCTATATTTTCTCTTTTCTTCATCGCCCCTCTTTCTCAGTCTTCCTCCCTTTCCTTTATACCCTTTCCTCTTTTCTCTCTTAACTCTGTCGTGTTTTCTCTTTTTCTCACACTCTCTTCCTCTGTTTCTTTCGCATGTCTATATCTGCGCGTGCACTAAAAACCATTTATTTCGAATATTAAGCAAATGGTATGATTCTTTTTTGGATTTGCTGAAGGTCGTTAGGGTAATAAAAAACACACACTCTCAATTTCTAAGCTGTTTGCTTCCAGTATTCATTTCAGTATACCTACCGCATCGAAGCCACGGAAAAGACCCCGTATGATATACCGAGGGGAAAATTTAAAGGAGAGAAAACTTGCCGGCTGGAAATGAATTCACTTTTAATTTAAACTCTCGCCAACTTAATTTCAAACAAAAAAATAGAGCAAACATCATATTTTCTTCGTATAACTACCAACACGAACACCTCTGAAACTCACCTTCATACACACATTACTACAAAACATTACTTACCTGAACACAGACACATACACGCATATACAATATACATTCAGACTCTTGCTGGTCTGGGCTCCAATTAGCTCATTTACCACTAATCTGTGCTTATGTGTGTGTATGTGTGTGGGGGGGGGGTCTGTCATGATACGCGGTTTGCGGGAAAGACCTTACCCTTGCGATCTTTTGGTGCCACGTTTGTGAAAGAGTCTACAGCTTCTCCTGCTGCTGCTACTGTACGTAACTTTTTGCTTCTTCTCCGCGAGGTCTTTAGTGGAAACTTCGTCTTTAATTGCGAGCTTCTGAGCACTAAATTTTACCGTAATACCCGGTTCCCCTGGTTCGTGTAAGTAAAGAAATTTCTTCGCGTGGGAGTTCGGTGCTCAAAAGAGGGAGCGTATATGAAACATTCCTTAAGAGGCGCCTTCGCTCAAGGAGTTATCAAATATTGTCTTGTTCTTCTTTTGCGTGTCGGGCGGTGCGCGGAGGCATCACACGCCCGCGTAGCGCCGGCGCGCGACCTACCGAGGAGTGCATTATTTATTCCAGGAAACGAGACAGTGACGGGAACACGGCAAAACGTGCAACGCGAGTTCCACCGGCCGAGCGTCACGGAAGGGTGACCTTGTGTGTGGGTTTGTTCCTTAGCTATGCGAAAACCTCGGCACGTTGTCTGCCCCTTAACCGGCTTCTTTTCACTGTCTCGTTTCCCATGTACATGATATCGTCGATTTCGTTGTGGAACTATCCAAGTTCTATTTGCACATTCCAAGCTCCTTTTCCGTCAAAGGAGGCTTTCAAAAAGAAGGCATACGTCAAAGAACGCATTGAAATGCCTGTGTTGGGAATTACAAATAGTATGCTTCTCATTTTTTTAAATTTTCGTTTTTAAGAAGTGTCGTTTTATCACCAACCAGCATTGTTTGTTTCCCAAAAGAAAACGCAAATGTGAACTTGAGTGGTTTTGCTTCCAAATCTACGGTATAATGGTTGTGATGGGTGTTGGCGACGGTGGTGGTGATGGGGGTTGGTGGTGGTGACAGTACGAGCTGCGTCTGGCGGCCTCCGACAACCTCAAGGAGAACTACACAACGGTGGTGATCCACGTGAAGGACGTGAACGACAACCCGCCGGTGTTCGAGCGCCCCACCTACCGCACGCAGATCACCGAGGAGGACGACCGCAACCTGCCCAAGCGCGTGCTGCAGGTCCTGGCCACGTGGCGCGCCACCTGCCTGCCACTTGTTCTGTTGTTGTGGTTGTTTTGTGTGTCGCCTGTCGCTGCCTGCCTGCCTGCCTGTCTGCCGCCTGTCGCCTGTCCGGGAGGCGCGGCTGCCGCGGCGTCTCGCCCCCCTCCTTGGCCGCCCTCTCCTGTCTGGGGAATCCCTCATCAAGCGTTCCTGACCATTCATAATTAATCCGACCTAGAGCACCGGCTATCACGATGTATTACTACTGCAGTTCAGGCGTTGGGTTGGGGTTTCATGTCGTTAATTGATCTGATCATTAAACCATGGGCTTTAGAAATTGTAAATTAGTTGTTTCTTTTCACAGCTAATTATAAAACATGTATGAATCAAATTTGAAATCCTACAATCGTGGTGTCTTCGATTCCATCCGGGTAATTTTAAGCAGGCAAATAGATCTTTAGCATTCGAATGCCCCCTCGTTCATCACTGTGTTAATATAGCTGTTTTATTGAAAAGGAATTGTATTCATTTGTGCTTGCATGGCGAACTCTTCATATATTTAGGTAATTAATACTTCGCGTTGTTTCCAAGAACCGTGTTCAAGCAATATTGAATAAAACATTGGGCAACTATGCGTTATGTTGTGTACCAGTAATTGGTATTGGGTTATTTAAGATGAGTATGCAATTAGTGAGATACGCCAACAGTCTGTAAATAGCAGGTTCTATTCTATGAATTGCCATTTATGTCATTGAATAACTCCGCACGTTCATTTTAAATGCGAATCCATTTCAACTGTATTTAAATGAAATCGCTCATGCAATCAGCCCTAGTCGGTTCTAGCTCCCAATTGTTATCCAACCCCTCAAATTTCGAATTGCAAAGGTCCACTGGGTCGTCCCCTCCCCGTCCCCCGCCGCGGCCGTCCGCCGGCCCGCGCTGCATGGCATGGCCACACCGCGTTGCACTCCGCATTTCACTGTCGATTGAACCCAATAATTGCTGTTGATTGCAGTAAGCACCGCATGCCATTATCTTTATTTTTAGCGGGATTTGTGTTGTTATGTGTGAGTGTGTGTCGGAGGGAGGTTGGTTGGAGGGTGTTGCTGCTGTGTGTGAAGGGGCCCGCGCGCCCGGGGCGTGATGCGCGCCCGGGACGAGGCACTAGCGGCGCGGCCCGTGTTGTAGTACGAGCTGACGCTGGTGGCGTCGGACAGCCTCAACGAGAACCAGACGCGCGTGGCCATCCGCGTCAACGACGTCAACGACCTGCCGCCCGTCTTCGACCGGCCGCTGTACAGGGCGGAAATCCTCGAGGAGCTGCCTGGCCCGCACCCGTACCGCCTGCTGCAGGTCGGCGCCGCCCGCCCCACCTCTCTCTGTCTCTCTCTCACTCTCTGTCTTTCTCCGTCTCTCTCATCCGCGACCCTCTGACTTCCTCCACCGCCGTCTTGGCCTCCGCAGGCGAGCACAACAAAGTCGAAGACGCCTGGGACCGGAGTCATCCGAATGCTCTTGGCTGTTTAGCCCTAAGGAAGGCCATGGTATAAATACTGAAATATTGGCCAGACAGGTACTGAGGCGTCCCGACGGCCGAGAGCATTGTCTCTGAGGCGCTGGTACTCCTTCTGGTATTAATTATGATGTAGAATTCGTTCGAGACTTGTGTACTCAGATTCACTCGGCCTGCGGATTTTCATTGTTGGATTTCCCAAGCAATTGAAAAGGACAAAGATTTTTATCAGTGTGTTTGCTACAAATATTTAGGAGCTCTGGCTTTACAGCCTCTTTGTGGCCAGACAAAATGTTCACATGATGCATAGTTTATTTACAGAATAAAGTGAATCTTTAAACCTTTTTTTCACGTTATAATTAACATATTAATTGCAATATTTAAGATGTTTAATGAAAATAATTCACATTACTGTAAACGCTGTTTATCAAACTCACAAATACAGACGAGTTTTAATTCAGAAAAAGATTTCAAAACACTTACACAAAACTCTATGGTTGAACTTTTTAATACATAACTTTCTGCAGTTGATTAAAAATGCATAAGTCACATTCTACTGTTATCAGTACTCGGAGAGACTATTTGTTCATACTGAGTTGTGCAAACCTGCTCAAAGTCCTTTACCTTCTCCGACGTCCGCTGGCAGGAAATCATTCTCTAATACGAAATTTGTTACACGTTGAGGCGAAATCAAATTACGATTTTTTAGAATTCGATTATTCATGACGTTTTAAAATTCATTGTTTGATACAAACGTAACCCTTTTGGACCCTTTATGACACAATGGACATGATTTACAATATTATAAATTTAGATGAATATCTTATTGGTATATATCTGCTCAGATATTTGCGAAGTTTAGCACTTGACTGTGAATACATCCTTACTATAGATGTGTGGATTTCAAAAATGTAATTGTGATGTGTTGAAATGCTGTTATTGATTAATTACGGCGTTAACACTCATTAGCATTCCAAATATTCTGAAAGAGTAATTACCATCCATGCAGAATACAAATGTATTAGCAGGTTCCTTTGTTTCCACAAAAATTGGAATTATTTACTTCTGAAATGTTGGTCACGTCACGCTGTCCCCATCATTTCTGTTTACATTTGACATATTCATTTCCGATGTTCGCTTAAAATTTTCAAAATGTTCATTTCCCCATAGAGAGCCGTGGTGGATGGTTTCATTTCCATTAATCCGTACTTATCTGACAAGCTTATTTCCGCTGTTTGTACCCAAATAAAAATGTTTTGTTCCGCACTATATTCCATGTCCAGTAACACTTCAAAGCAAACCAGATTTCCATAGTTCCCGAATTTTAATAAAATGTAACAATGAATATGTCGTTCAATGATCCCTTTTATGGAATAACACACAAGAACTGAGCTGGAAACAATTGCATTTCGATATTTTGCAAGCCATACCAATTGGAATATTATGGATGCGATGCAATAAAATAAATTTCGATGGTTCATTTTTTTGAATGAAAATTATTCTACCTTAATGTAAATGCTCAACAAGAGGAGAATACAGAAGAACGAAATGTTTTCCTAGTTCTCTGTAACCTCTCTCAAAGTGGTAAGGAATTATTTAACATTAGGTTTTAAAAACTCTGCCGTTAATTAGGTACTTCAAATCCTCCTCGAATGCTTCCTACAGCGGATGTTACTTCATCACTCTCTCATTCTTCCTTTTCAGACGAATTTCTTATCCTTTGGTGCAGGACTTCATTCTATATGGTGGTGGCTTGTTCTTTTGTGTATGAGATGAAGAACGTAAATCAAAGTATATTGTAATAGTATCGTTGATATGTGTGAAAATACAAACGAAGTAAGATGGAATGCAGTATAATCTTATCGAACTCATGATTTTGTCAAAGTGAATTATGTGACGAAAATGTGACTTACTACTAGTCATTTGCAACATTCAGAAAAGTAACTATTAATGTCCATCTTTGTAAACGCGATGTATAAAATTAATATAATTCCTAGAATTCTATTGAATTACCAGTTATTTCCTAAATATTTTGATCTTTTCGTTTTGCATTGCAAGTATTCCTTGTCACAATAATTACAACAATAGACATGGAATCAAATTATTACTCCAATCCATTCTGAACACTCCAGTGATATTAAGTTCAGTAGGGAATATTCATACGATATGAAATGTGTCCAATTATTACTTTACAGAAAGGATTTGCCTTGTTTTAAAATTACTGTTTTATTTGTGATATTGAGATGGTTTGTATTGAATACATGCCATTGAACTAATAATTGAAGTATATTTCTGTTCATATTTACTGTTTATTGCAATTCACGATTCATACAGTTTTTTCCGATTTTTTGTTTCATTTTCGAGTGCTTTGTACAGAACGTTTTTTTGTTGTTGTTTTTTAATTTACACTATTCCCCTGGCTTACGGATTCAACTCGTAGAGTAAAAATTAACGACGTGCAAAGCAGTAGCGAGCAGTTTTGTGTGTTTGATGGAATAATAAATGAAAAATGGCATTAATAAATTAGTAATACAATTTTTCGGACCAATATCTGATGTTTAGGAATGCTATTTGAGAGCGAGTACATGAAAACTTTTATATGTTGTGGTCGAATATCAATTTTCAGAACATTACAAGCATGCAAAATTGAATACGGATGATTTCACCGAGGTCAATGCAGTTCTTGATTTAGTCAATGGCTATAAATTGTCGTGATCTAGGGGTGTGTATCATATTTCAGACCTACTTTCTTTAATATTAAATAGGATTGAGCTATTCGTCTTTGACTTCATATCCGAATGTTGAAATACCTCAAGCTCAGATTCTTTTTTAAACAGTCCTTTGTCATTCCAGAAACTAAGAAGGAAGCTGCATATCCGTTCCTTCTGCTAAAACATAGGAGCCAGTATTTCATCAACAGAATCCATTTAATATGGCATATTTTCGTGATTTAGTAATAATGTAAATCTCAGAATGATATTATTATTTCTTAATAGAGTAAATCTCACAATTTGTCCCCGCGTAATTGAAAGAAGAAGAAAACAACAAAAAAACCTAGTTTAAACTTAATAGATATGTATAATGAATGAAATATTCCTCTGAACGATTTATTAACTCGAAAACAATTTGTAATGCTTTTCCGGTTTACTAATACCCCAGACAGGTTCCATTCTTAACTGCAAATTACGAGCTTTGAATGGTATTTCCAATATGGAGGATTTAGGATATTCTAAAGCCTGCACCAACATATAGCATTGATACTTTGGAGACCTGTTGTGAAGCAACTTCACTTTAATAATAGCTAATTGTACATTGCGTAGCGCTGCGTGAGAGGCATTTCTGCGTCTGCCCGGCGGCGGAGGGGCGCGGGGGCGTGTAAGCGCGCCCCGCTGCTTGTCGCGGTCCGCGCGAGCGTTGTGTAGCGCGGGCGACAGCCGTGTCACGCGCCGGACGCCACTTCTGCCGGCGCCCGAACAGCGCGGCCGCGCGGCGATAAATTCCGACGCGCCCGCCCCCGCCCTCCGCCGCCCGCGACCCCGCCCACGCAACGCCGCCCGCCGCGTGACGGATGGCTCCCGCTCACTGCGTTCACGCCCCCGCCCCTTCCCCTCCCCCCCCGCTGCACCTTCCATCCGACTTGTGCGCTCCACCGCTATTCACCTCCGGCCACGCCCTCCCCGCTTCCCGGCCCGCGGCCTCACCGCCCGTTCATCCCTGATGCATCGTCTATGTCTCTTCGACTCCTCGCCTTTTCAACTTTGGTCTCGTGTGTGCATTTCCTTTCCTCTGAATCCGTTCGTTTGTCCCCGGAGCGCCTCCATTTTCACTCTTCGTCCCTGTTCCTAACCTTCTCTTTCGCTCGTATCTCCTATATTGCATATTCTCCTTCTTCCCTGTCGCTACACCAACATGCGCCGCATTTTGTGTTCCCCTCTATTCACTTCCCGCCCCCGCACTTCGCCCAGTTCATACCGGGTGCTTCCGCTCCTCGTCTGATGCAGTTCTCGTCTTTCAACACTGATCTCCTGTGTGGGTCCTACTTCTTTGCTCCATTCTTCTCCACATTTACTCTTCGCCCTTAATCATAACCTTGTCCGTATGTTCTTCGAGTAGTTCGTGCTCCCTTGCATATTTTTCGCGTTCTATCCACCTCTACTTCCCGTTGACTCCCTCCCCTTTGTCTCCGTATCACAGATCACGTTCTCTCCATCTCCTTCTCCCGCTAGCTTCATCGTAACCGTTCACTCCGTTTCTTATCCCCCCTCCCCGAAAATCCACTTCCACCAGTAGTTGATTACGACTGGTAACCTCTCCTCGCTCCATCACCGCTCCATTTCGTCTCATCCCCCAATCCTATCTCGCCCCGCGCCGCCATGCCCTGCCGCGCCCTACCGCCTCGACCACGTGTTCACTCCATACCAACCATCCACTCCCCACCCCCAACCCCGTTCCCGTGCCATTTCTTCGCGCCCCGCGGCGCGAACGCAGGTGCGCGAATCCGTCACTCTACCTGTCGAGCGTTTTGCGTCGCGGCTACTGGGCGTGCACGCGTCAGCTGATCCCCTCCCCCCGACACCATCCCGCCGCGGCGGCAAAAATCCTGTGTGTCGGCCGACCGCGCGTTCTTACTCCGACCGGCGCCGGCGCGCGCCCCGAAATGTACCGACGTAGATGTGACAGGCGAAACGTGTACGCATCAGTGTAAACGTTGAGCGCTCGCGTATGCTGTAAAATGGGTGAAACTGTGAAGCGCAAGTTTAAACGGGCGCCTAGTTGCATGCGCACTATTCATGAGGAGGAAGTATTAAAATACTAACACGTAGCTCGTGCCCGCCTTTGAGGTAAGCGTGCTTGTTCCACTTGCTACC